TATCTGCAGTTTTTTTTTTTGTTTTGTTTTTTTTTAATGTTTTTTTTTGATTTTTTACAGAGGGGAAGGGAGAGAGATAGAGAGTTAGAAACATCGATGAGAGAGAAACATCGATCAGCTGCCTCCTGCACATCTCCTACTGGGGATGTGCCCGCAACCCAGGTACATGCCCTTGACCGGAATCGAACCTGGGACCTTTCAGTCCGCAGGCCGACGCTCTATCCACTGAGCCAAACTGGTTTCGGCATATTTTTAAAATATATGTTGTTATTGATTTCTTAGAGGAAAGGAGAGGGATAATTCTTTATATCCCTCTCAGCAACTAACCACCTTCCATATAGTATGTCATAATCTGTTGTTAGACTTGTTATGTAAGGCAGTGATGCTAAGTGACTAAATGTGTAAGAAATTGGTAATCTTTCTAATCCCCAGGGAGGTGATGTGCTGTGTCCCTAGAGCAGTCATTTATACATAGCTGTATTAGTTCCTATGGTTTGCATATTGAGAATGATTGATATTCTATTTAGATACACATACTATACCAGTGATGGCGAACCTTTTGAGCTCGGTGTGTCAGCATTTTGAAAACCCTAACTTAACTCTGGTGCCGTGTCACATATAGAAATTTTTTGATATTTGCAACCATAGTAAAACAAAGACTTATATTTTTGATATTTATTTTACATATGTAAATGCCATTTAACAAAGAAAAATCAACCAAAAAAATGAGTTCGCGTGTCACCTCTGACACATGTGTCATAGGTTCGCCATCACTGTACTATACTGATGGGTACTAAGTTTATGTTTGATAATGTGAAAATGTCCTCAGTGTTTAAGGCTTATTGATAGTGGGTTCCATTATCTAATTGCATGAATGGTTTCACTTCACCACGGATTTCTCAGGGTAACAATTACTGGTAAGTAGAAATGAAAATGGAGGATGAGGAAAGCAACGTAATATATTTGTTTCCTTCCCTTTCTTTCCTTGTTCTTCTGTTCTTCCTGTTAGTTAACTGTTATTAATGAAAACCTAATTAAACTTTTCCAAAGGTGATATAAGTCTTTGTAGTAGCTGATATACACTGAGTGGCCAGATTATTATGACCACCTGACGTTTGTAGGCAAATTAGCTATAATTTCACGCTGAAGTTGCTAGAGGGCCAGACCATTATAAATAGGGAAGCAGGTTGTTTACCACGACAGTAGAAGTGATTTTTTT